ACACACCCACGTCTGTCCGCCTGGCGAGGTGGCCCCACGGGGACAGCACCAGGGCACTCACCTGCTCCTGCCGCACCTCGAACAGGACGTCCTCCCCTGGCCGCAGGGCCACCCCCTGGTCCCCGAGAACGCTGATCTGCAGGCCGCGGGGCGGGGTCAGGGGGCACTGCTGCTGCTCGGGGCTCTGAGACAGGTCCACACCGCCGTCACACACGTTGGACACGACCTTCCGGTACCTGCAGTCGGACAGCGGGTCAGGGTCGGCAGACAGGCAGGTGGGGAGAGGGGACCGGCTCTGCAGCCCGGCAGGGACTGCTTGTCCTCAGGGGTGGCTCTCGGCTACAACCTCCAATGGCCAACTCCCAGCCTCCGCCTGACTCCAACTGAGGGCGACCTCTGCTCCCTTTAGAGCTGAGAAAACAGGCGCAGAGGAGGGACGAGTGACCAGAAATGGCAGGATCTGCTTCAGAGTCGCCGAGCGACGTCTCCTTGGTCTGATCATGTTAATAACAAGAACAGTAGTAATAAGAGCTTTTGTTATTGTTGCTGAGGGGATGACCGAAGCAGCTGGTCTGAATTTCATGGTCTTGCTGAGAAATACGGTCCCTGGGCCCAACCCTGGCCTGACAGCTGACACAGCCCCACCCCCAGGCTCTGTTTCTCTGTTACCTGGAGAGGGCGGATCAAGGACAGCGCCTGACTCATCCTCTCATTCCGGGGTTCACTGAGCGTCTACTACGTGCCAGGTAGTGGGGTACAGGGGCAGAGGTCACACATGGTCCCTGCCCTTGCAGAGCGGGGGAGACGCCTCATCCAACCAACCCCCCAGTGAGGTAAGGTCACGACTGTGACAAGCGCTGGGAAGGGCAGCACTGGGCATCAATCCTTGATAAAGGGTTTTCAGCTGAGATCAGGAGGGGGAGGGGAGGGGAAGGAGCACGGCGGCAGCAGGACCAGCATGTGCAAAGGCCCTGTGGTGGGGAAGGAGCAGGGATGGGATGAGCTGGAGAGGGGCTGGTGGGCAGAACCCAATGGCTCAGGTCAATGAGCCTCTCAGGAGACCACCGGAAAACCTCTGCACCAGGGGCATCATCTGACTCACCACTTAGGAAGCTCCCTCAAGCTACACTGGGATTCTGTGTCTGGGAGACTGGCACCATGGCCAAGTACCCAGGCCAGCCAGCCTCCCCATGCCTGGGCGCTTCTGCCCCCATGGCTCAGCACTGAGTGACCACTGAGAAGGATCATGCAAGGACACTTGGATTATTCTGGAGTAAAATACACTCTCTGAGAGCTACCCCCCCTCCCACAGCACCGTGGTGTCCAGAATGTATGAACACAACCCTCTGCCCTGGATATGACACTTCATATCTTGGCTCTAACACTTCAGACAAGAGGCCCTGCTCACCAAGCCCTGGTGGATGCACCAGGGTGGCTGCCTTGGATACCGGAGGGAGGGAGG